CACTGTCATTAAAGCAAAAAGGGGACGAACCAAATACTAAGAAACTCTGAAATTCATGTAAATATTTCAAAGATTTCACTCAAATTATTACTGATGATATCATTAAAAACAAACCTTTGTGTTAAATTGAAAAAGAATGCCAAATAGAATCATTTACACTAGAGTTCTCAGACTATATGTATATGTATATATACATATATATGGTCTTATGTTGGTCTTTATATAGGCCAATTCTATTGTTTTTCCTATACATTGAAGACATTCGGGTTTGAGATCAAAAGATGAACATGAGATGATAGATCAGAATTTCAGCTTTCATTTCCCAATATTTACATCTAGACATGTTAAACAACATGAACATGGCACCTTTTGTTTGAACCCACCCATTTTTCAAGTGATCAAAAATACAACAATTAATAACATAACATAACATAACAATAACATTTATTGAGACTCCTTCAATAAATGTTAAAGAAATGTCTCTTAACAGAAAACCATATCAACAATTATATGCTTTTATTTGTTAAATAACAATGGAGCTTCCACTTGTGAATGAGCAGTTACTACAGAAACAATAACTTACAGTATTGCAATGAGCGCATTAATATAAAGATTTATGTTACAGTGGTGGCTTAGTGGTTAGCATGTTTGCCTTGCACCTACAGGTGTGCATGGAGTTTGCAGGGTACTCTGGTTTCTTCTCCCAGGCCAAAGTTACAGCGATAAATACTCAGGTTGGTACTGTTATAGAAAATTAATCAACACCTTCTGATTTAAGAATTCACCTGAGCAGTGGTCTAATTATTGTAACTGTAATCTCTAATAAAAGAAAAAATATTTTACTATTATTCAGGTGTGACGTCATACAGTGCATGCCATATGTATGCTGCGTAATATTCCAGCATCCCAAAAGTAAAACACGTTTCCACATTCATGGTACGAACAGTTCAGTATCCTTCTGTGTAATTAACAAAACCAGACACTTCACCATATTCTTTCAGTTTAAACTGTACTACAGGGAAACAAATGCCTGTTATATTTGGCCTGTTACAGAGGGAAGACGCTTGGGGGTTTACAATTTCATATATTGCAAAGAACTAGAGAATATATTCCTTTGTGTTTGTTAATAAAGAGCACTGCTGAGCGAAATTCACTGTAACATCTAGGCTGTATGTTGTAACAAGAAAATTGGAAATCATCAAATAAATATGAAATTCTGTTTCGTTTTGTTTCTTTAATCGGAAATCAGAGGTTCCCCATTAACCAAGGATGCACATTTCTTAACATATCACTTCTTTTTGTTGACATAATCTCTGGCATTAACAGACACTAACA